TACATGTGGATCTGTTTCTAGGTTCTCTATTCTGTTTCACTAATATATTTGTCCATCACTATTATACCCACATCATCTTAAATACTATAGTTTTATAATAAGTTTTGAAATCTGGTAGAGTAAGTCCACCCGCCTTGTTTCTCTTCTGGCTATTCTTGGCTCTTTACTCTTTCATATAAATATTAGAATCACCTTTATCAAATTCTACTTTTAAAAATCCTGTTGAATCTGGTGACAGCCAGAGGGGAGCAGGGTGGGGGACCTGGAGAAAGCAGTGAAGGGTTAAAGAAGTACAAATTAGTAGTTGATAGATGGTCACGGGGAGAGATGGAGCGCGACATAGGGAATGCAGTCAGCAGTAATGTAATGGCCATGTGTAGGGCCAGAGGGATGACAGAGCAATCAGGGAGATCGTTTCATAAACTATGTAAATGTCTAACCAATGTACTGTATACTTGGAACTAACAATAGCAAAAAAAAAAAAAAAAAAATCCTCTTGAAATTTTCACTGGAATTGCATTTAATTTATTGATCAATAGGGAAAGCAGATGTGCCTATAATATCAATTCACCTAACCATGAACGCAGTACTTCTCTCTTATTTAGACCTACTTTGGCTGTCCATAAAATTTTTAAATTTTCTCCACGAAGTCTGGCATGTCTTTTGTTATAAATATATTCCTAGGAACCTCGTTTTTATTCTAACTAGTATTTTTTTAGGATTAACTTTTTTTTTATTAGTGTGTAGAGAAATGGTTGATTTTAGTATCCTATGTTCAGTGTACTTACCAAACTTCCTAATTTTTGTAATTTATTTGTGAACTCTTGAGTTTCCTACGTAGATAATTCTATCACAGTAAGAGTTTTGATTTCCTCTTTCCTATCTTTACACCTTTCACTTCTTGTCTTGTTGGGCTGGTTAGGGTTTCCAGCCCTCCACACTTTCCCGCTTTGTTAACAGTATTCTGGCCATGCTTTATACTTCTTTTTTACTTTAAACGTAATTTAACTGTTCTTGTTGAATACAGGCAATCATTAGTAATATCAGTTATGGCATTGTACTAAAGATATTGTTGTGGGTACATAATGTGTGGGATGCAGAAGCTCAGTTTTGGCCTTGAATGAGTCTTTAACAGAAAAGAAAAAGAAAAAAAAAAACTGGCACTTTCCCCCTTTGGCACTGACCTCTAGTTAACTCTCAAAAGCAAGTGCACATTCCTCCTCCACTCTCTCCACCCCCTTTTACCCCGAATTATACAATGTAGAGCTGTAGGACTGATATATTTTTAGCAGCGATAGTGTAAAAAATTACCATTTCTCTAGATTACAAACAACCTTCCAGCTTGTTTTTTCATTGTGGACTCTCTGTACCTCCTACTAGCTGACCTCATCACTGCTTCAGATCTCTAGAAAGGACATAACATATGGTGTAGCTTAGAGCATAGACTCCGGAGCCACGCTGCCTGGGTTCAAATGCCAGCTTGACGTGTATAGTTGAAAGTCCCATGACAAATTATTTAACCTCACTATTCCCAATTTCCTCATCTGTATAATGAGAAAAAACATCTATCTACCACACAGGACTGTTTTGAGAATTAAATCAGTTTTTTTTTTATAAAGTGCTTAGAACATGGCCTGACGCATAGTCAATGTTAAATGAATAATATATTGTCAACTTGAACTCCACCACTCTCTTATCTCTGTCTCTTAAAACTACTCCCATATTTCTCATTTTTTGGTGGTGGTGATGGTATTGGTGGTGAAGGTGGGGGTTTTTTTGTTTGTTTTTGTTGGGGGCAATGCAGACATTACTAACTGATCTTAGCACTCCTCACTGGTCAGTGCTTCTATCAGAATGGAAGGAGCCTGTCAGATGTATTCGTTCACTAGTTGGTTAACCAGGTGAAAATGAGCACAGGTGAAGAAAATGGAGCTTTTCTTTAATGAGCATAACAGGAATCCAGAGACATGTGCGACTGCTGTTTCCAAATATTTGCAGGGCTGACATGGAGAAGAGATAGCATTAGGAATTCTTTGGACCAGCTCTGTGCTCCCCATCACTGAACATGTTTAAGCAAGAGACTGGTAACCAGGTGTCAAAAATGCTATAAGAAAGAATTTTTAAATTTAGAATCAAGTAACCTTTAAGATTCCTTCTACCTCTAAAATCTTGGCAATACTAATGTGAGTCATGAAGACGTTGCCATCTAGTTGTGAGTCACACGCATCGCCAACGCGCTCCTGAAGGCACGGAGTTCTCCACTCCCCACAGTGCTTGGCACACAACAGATCTAGCTGAGGAATTCTAGCCCTCAGGCTGCGTATAAGTCGGCTCACAGTAACAAAAACTTCTCTAAAACCAAGCGCGTCAATGAGCTGATTGCAGACTTCTGTTATGGCCAACATATACAGTAAAGCGTATATCCCAAATGAGATTTGGCAAAAAGATGTGTATTCGGATTAACTCTTGGACAGTCCTTCACTTCACTCTCCCGAGGCCGGACAAAAGCTAACTGAAGTGAGCAGGCTAAGGCAAAGGAGCAGGGTGGCCCGGGGTGAATGGGAGACGGCGAGCCGACACACACGCCGGGGAGAGGGACAAAGGCCTCGGGAGAGCACGCTGGACTTGGAATGCCCCAGCCGTAGTGGCCACCGGTCCGGGTTTGGGCTGGGGATGCAAACGTGCGCCAGTACTGGATTAAACAGCACCAACGAGGAGGGCCCCTACGTGTCAGCGGGGCCCCCGCGGGGGTGGGTCCTCTGCATCCGGGGAGTTGGGTTCGGACGCCCACCCGCCAAGGGGGCCTGGCTGGGCCGGGGCCGCCGGAGCCGCAGCCCCAAGGCGGGT